TATCAAATTTATTAAAAGATCTCTATCGAACACTGCTTGTCACAATCATCGTAACAGTAGGAAAACAAGAGCATTCACAGTGCATACAATAAACAAGTTTCTCAACTGAACGATCGTATTTGAAGATTTTTACTCTTGATTGAGCATATAAATAACTCGTTCACTTATAATTTCCAAGTTGTTGTGCTTGTTTTTTGTTGCGTATTCTAGTAATATTCTTTCTCAAGCTCTTGAAAATTCTATTGTTTCAATCTTCAGTTCAAGAGCTATATGTAAAATAGGCATAAGCGAATCAAAATAGCATGTTTTTTGGCTTCTTGTTTTATTTAAAAATAAAATGAGTATCGTAAGACATCTAGAGACTAAACTTGGCTTAACAATTTTTCTTCATCAATACAACTAGCAAAAGTTCTAGGTTTTTTCCATTTTGAGCGAAATCATCGAAAGTCCGATATTTTCGATCCCGAGTTTGAACTACAACACACTTTGAGCTAAGCTGTGATAAAAAAGAGACTTTGAAGTACTTAAAAATATCCTTGACGTTGCTTGTAGTATTTTCAATTCAAGTAAAAGATTCTTAGTATCATTAACAAAATAGCTTAGACAACTGAACCATTATACTTCCTGACTATTCTTAGTTTTATTTTTCTATTTTGCTTTTTACAGAAAAGGCTTGATATAGATCTGATAGAGAACTTGACAGGCAATTGTTTTATGCTAATTTTCATATTTCACCATCAAAACTGAGTAAAAGATTCTCAAAATACTGAAACACCATTTATTCTGGAGCACTCATTAAAAGTTATAAGTCCTACGTGGACGCCCTACTAACGATGCTTTTTGGTGAAAGGCATAAAATAATATCAAGTTATCAATCAAAGCAAGCGTGTATTACTCTGTGCGCATCCAGCTGGTTGAAAAGATAAAATTTTTTGAGCAACACCTCGAATGATGTGATTGATTTATTGAAAAAATGTAATCCAAACTTTTGTCAATCAAGAGTAGCCATATGTTGATAGGCCAAGCGAATGACGACTACTTGGCATTCATTGTGTACATTTATTTCTACTTTTCTATGATGTAGAAGTACTTGGCAATGAAGAAAAAAGAACAAGACCCACAATATGCAATCAATATTTTCTAACAAACAAATCTTTGATGGATTTCTCTTCTTTTGTTCCAGAGCACGCTTTAATTAAAGAATTCAGAACAGCATTTTATTACAAAAAAAGCTGAAAGCTTTCTTTTAATCAAAGGAATCTCATCGTCGAGCTGCATTACAATCAAAACAAAGCCTCATTGCTCAGACAAGCAACATCTACATCACCTACAGAACCGAACATAATTATCATCAATGACAATGAAAGTTACCCAATGGTCTGTTTGGTCATCTGATGTAACATCGAGACCATATAAAACCAATTCTTCGAGCAAGATAGAGTTTTGGAAAGAAGAAAAAGAAGAAGAGAACGAAAGCAAGTAAAGAAAGCGTTGACTATCTTCAGCTATTAGTTTTATGTATAAAATGTGTTCATCTGTTTGTTTACGTAAGACGAAGACGCAAAATCCGAGGAGCTTATGCCTGGTGTCCATGCATAAAATGCTGTGTTGTCGGAATGTTGCTTGGCGAAATTGCTCTGGCTGTTGTGCTCACATTGTGGTTGACATCGACATCCATAGAAATAACAACAACATCCACAAGCATGTTCTGATTGAATTTTTTTCTCTCAAAATTATTCTTTGGCGATCTATTCAACTGAATTGACTTGTGCTCAATTTCTGCTGGAATTATTTTGATGCAAATGATGCTCGTGAGCCAGCATGAAGGTATTTCCTTTGAAGCATTGAAGTGTCCATGAACCATAGGAGTGTTTTGGTCTTTGTGTATGTGGATTTCCAGATAGCAGAGAAGAGGAAATATCAAGATAATAACTATCCCTACAGATTTATCTCAATATCCTGAATTCTGTAAATTTTTGAATTGGAACTGAGGTATTTGTCTCATTACAGAAAATTCACTCGAAATCGTAAACCTAACGGCATATAGCACCACAAATTCATTATGTTAATGTCCTAATAGTAATGCTTTTAACGCTGATATGCGAGTTATGCATCCCAGAGTGTGGGTATGGGTGTGGATATGGGTGTCAACAGAAGATATACTCACCCACCACCCCACACCCTCAGATTTTGGGGTATTTAACGTTTCTGAAGACAAGGCTAGAAATTTCACAAAAATCTAATTAAACAATACTTTTAGCTTTTAACCAACCAGCATCCATTCATAAACTCCAAGAAATTGCCCTCCATAAGTTGAAATGTAACCAGCAGTATCTTCAGAGACGTTCAATCTGAAAAACTTGAGGGTCATAAGTATATCTTTTCGATCTTGGTAGTTTCAAGGCATGCAGAAGTGTAGAAAAAGTCTGAGATACTTTTCAAAGACATAATAATGATAGAGTTCTACAGAAACACCATTCAATTCTAAACAAGAATAAAGTCCGATATAGTGTTCAGCAATACAAGTTAAGCTCTTTCAATTTGAGCTATCTGTTTGGAACTTTCGAAGGAAATTAGAAAAGCTTAATACATATATTGGATGCTTCGCAAAGTTCATTGGTGTACTGTGAGGTCTGTAGAAACCTATCAAGGCATCGAAGTTTTTCATATTATATCTCATAAGTTCAAATTTTAAAAAAGTCAGAATTTCTCTTTTTGAGTTGGAAAAACTCGTGAATTTAGTAAAAAACTGCCTTGAAATGAGTAATAATACTCAGTGGCAAAGACATGTGTCATATTATGAGTCCATAAAAATTAATTTCTTTTACCAAAGAAAAGCTGCTTTCGATCGCCTTTTCGAGACCGCCTACAATAAAAGCGATCATCGTTGTTCGAAAAGAAGAGTTCGTTTCTGGTCTTTAACTCTCAGATGAAAGATCGCGTCGAATTATCGTCACATTCAAGAGAGTAAGCTGTTTCATTCAGCCTGTGAGAAATAAAAGCTCACACACAGGCATGAACTTTTTTAGCTAAGTAACATAAAACAGGAGTTGATGTGGTGTGCTCAGTATGATAATCATATCTAGAAGATTTCATGACAGATATTCCCGAGGCACTTGCTCCTGCAAAACTGGCATGGGTGTGCGTGTGTGTGTCAGTGACGAGGTAACAAACATTGATACCATTATACACAGTCTTCTCTATTCCAGTTTATACTCACACTCCAATTTGAGCATGCTAGATCGCACTGGTTTCTGTGATAGTTAAGACTGCGTCTTTCAAGAGGTCCGGGTCACTTTGCCAACAAAAATTTGAAGTCAAAAAATTGAAACTTGTTGAAAATATTGCGTCAAAACATTTTTGGGTGTGCATAAAGACAAAACCCACACTCGCACCTGCACCGACACTCACATCCACAGACCCACACTGACACCCATACCCACACCCAAATCCCAAACCCACTCACACCCCACGGCCACACCCACACCCACACCTATACCCGCACCCTACAATCGCACTCACTTACTTACACCAACAAGATAGCTTTTCAACCCTAACTAATATACCGTTTTGGAACTGAGTCCAGTGAGTCCCAATAAACCGATGCATTACTTGTTTCAGACTAAGGTTTATTCTGAGTTTTTGGATTTTTGCTTCGTATGACTAAATACGAAAGCACGTTGAGAAGAGATTTACTTCGCGATATTATTATGAGAAAATACAGTGAAAGTAGTGTCATGGAATTAGTAGTCTCGAATGCAGGAGACTCTCGTTTGTCCGATGCATAACCACATTATAGCTTTCGTTAGGAAATGATTATCAATCTACTTTGTTGCTTTTCTACTTATTATGATGGGCAATGCATGATCAACAAGTGCGTATAGTAATATATTAGTGAGACATCGTTTGTTTAAATTTCAATGTTACAAAGCAGCTACACCGATAACATGCGCCACAAATACTTACTACAGCCTAAATGTAGTGATGGCGACACGTTAATACATTTTAGTAACCTTTATGAAACTTTCTTTTTACACTCAACAATAAGGAAAACAATGCTCAATCTTTCTGTAATATTTGATTATTATGCAACTGATATCAGAATAAAAAAATTTCTAGACGAGCATTTTTTTATGATATGTGATGATAAAATGAGATTAATGATATGTATTTTCGATGTATATTTTCTTCTTAATGATCTTTTTGTTTTTTTACTTGTGGTTTCTTTTGTTTCTTCTAATTTCCATCTCTTTTAATGTGTCTAGCCATTTTTACATATTAGGTTATGAATGTCTGTTAACTTGATTCTAATCAATATTCTTACTCATGGTCACATTCACAGTCTAATATGCAAAAGGGACTAGATATTGAATAAGATAGAAAAAAGAGAAATAAAAAGAAAGCAAAACAACAAAAGAGCCATCAAGACGTGAATACATATCAAAATAAATGTAATCTGATCATATTGTCATATATCACAACAAACATTCTTGTTGAAACTTTCTTATTATGATATCAGTTGAAGAATGATCATATATCACATAAAGATTCATCATTGTTTTTATTATCCTTCAATACACAATAGCAAGTTTCCTAATGATTACTAAAAGGTATTAGAATGTCGCTGTCACTACTTATGGACTGTCCTAACTCCATCCACTACTTTGACTGTTTTCATAAATATAACAGTGACCTCGACAAGTTCATCTACATCGACGAGCTCATCTACATCGACCTCCACCAGAACTACAACAACATCGACCTCTACAAGCACTAAAACAACATCGACTTCAACAATCTCATCCACATCCACCTCTTCAAGCACCAAAACAACATCGACTTCAACAACCTCATCCACATCCACCTCTTCAAGCACCGAAACAACATCGACTTCAACAGCCTCATCTACATCGACCGCTTCAAGTACCACAGCAACAACGACCTCGACAACAACTGCTTATGATTCATGTAGGCCATGTTGTTTTACAAAGATTGCATACATGACATATGATTGTTTAGGTATAAATCTTCGTTGGAATCAAACAGGTGTACGAATTGCTGGCACTGGTACATATGGTTCAACTACCAACCAATTTCACGATCCACTTTGGATCTACATCGATGCAAATGACACACTCTATGTTGCTGATCATCACAATTATCGAATTCAAAAGTGGAATCAAGGAGCGACGGTAGGCATCACAATTGTCGACACTAGCTCTGCTGATGATCATCCTGAGGCTATAACTTTTGACAAGAATGGATTTCTATATATAACCGGTCATAATAATAACCGAGTGGTAAGATATTCACCAAATTTCAACAGCAGCACAGTTGTGGCAGGAAAAATCGGTTCTAAGTCATCAGCACTCGACGACCTCCACGATCCCTTGGGCTTAGACCTCGATAACGATTTAAACCTTTACATTGCTGAGAGAAGCAACCAACGAGTCATGAAATGGGGTCCAAATGCAACAAACGGTACCATTGTCATTGGTACTTCGTCCACTCCTGGATTCTTTGGACTTTTACTTTCACTTTACTCATCTAATGAAGCCTACGTAAGCTCTGAAGATAAAAATGCTGTCTATTTGTGGACTTTCAATGCATCCACACCGAGAATAACTCTTACGCAAGTCAATGATACTCCTGCAACGCTTAGTAAACCTAGAGGTATGAAGTATGATATTTATGGGAACTTGTATGTTGCCGACAAATCTAATAAACGTGTGGTGATGTACTGCGTCAATTCAACGATTGGTAAGGTTGCGGTCAAAGATACTTATAGTGGACCTGGCCTTAGCAGTCCCGAAGATATTGCATTTGACTCGAATCTTAATCTCTACGTAGCTGATTCAAATGGCCAAGCTGTGATAAAATTTCAAAGATTATGAATAAACATTGCTTTAATATTTCAATCATTATCAACAAAAAACTATATCCTAATACACTGATTTCTGCTTTGCTTTTTCTCCGTAAAATTAAAATAAAAACAAAAAAATCCATTCTTGAAAATCAAATTAATTGGATTGTATAGTGAAGCAATCATCGAAAGCGGTTTTCGAAGGATGGAATATTACTCTCTCCGAAAAATAGATGCTTGACAAGACCAGGTGATTTTTGTTGGATCGAATTATAGAAAGGATATTATACGTTGATGTTTCTTTTTTTGACAACGAAAGATCTGCTTGACTCGAAAGAGCTATCGATAAGTAGAATGCCTGATTTTAAATAATTTCATAAAAAAAACTCTTAAAAATTATATTAAGTTCGTTTACTTTGAAGGTCAGTGAGTGAATTTTTCCTTGACATATAGTCAACCATTTACGCACGCATTCATTCAACCACTCGTGCCTACAGCCTTATATTAGCTTTTTTCTTCCTATCAGTTTTAAATAATATTCTCGGTTTGACATTTATTATCACTAAAAATTTTTATTGATCATAAAAAAATTTGTTTCCATTTCCACTAAAGCAGTAATAATATCATAAAAATTTGTTGAATATTTTTCAATTTATTTTCTTTTTTCTTAGCATTTAAAGCTTAAGTACATTTATTGATTGTTGAATACCATTATAGATAAGTGTATTATCAATAGGAATATATTGATGTGTTATTAATTTAACTGCTTCTTGTGCACAACATCCACCAATAAAAGCAGCAATTGAATGAAGTTCTGATGCTCCATATCGACATAGTTCTTCAAGAATTTGTTGTTTATCATCATCCATAAAATCTTTACTAAATTGTTTTTTACTTATTTGTTTTAAATCATTTAAATCTATTTCAAATTGTCTTTCATCAGAAAGAAATTCTCCGGGATAACGACGGAATTTTTCATAAAATAAATCACATAGATGTAAACCAGTATACCTAAACAAGAACGTCAAATAATATAAAAATACAAAAAACAAAGAAGAAATGATAAACGAATTACCAAGAAAGATTTGATTCTGTTTCATCTCTTAAATCATTTTCATTTTTTATTGCAGTTGTTCTTAACACTCTTAAAAATAATGCATTCTTACAATATATTTCAACCAGATCATATGAATTAATATATTCATTTGATAAACGATTATATTTTTTTAATAAATCAAAAAGGTAATTATTAACGATTTCACAATCTTTTTTTGCTTGTTCTTGATAAATTTTTAGAAGTTTAATATATGAATTTGTATTTGTTATCATATCTGGTACTTCACCACGAACAGGTAATAAACCTTGTCCTTCATTTTCACTAAATAATTTTATAGCATGAATAATAAACCAAAATATATTTGTTTGATCTGATAATTCTAAACAAGATTGATCTTGAAATAATTCTTTTATTGTTAATGGAAGATTTGTATTAACAAGACGTGATGGTACTGTTCGTTTAGCTTCTTCAAAATTTTCAAGATGCTTCGCTTTATCTTGAATATCATATGCCGAATGATGTGATAATTGATCAAGAATTTTTTTAAATTCATCTTTTTCTATACGTGTATTTGGTAAATCGTTTCTATTACGTTGTTTTTGCCAAATTTGTAATGTTTTAAATAGAATCATAAGTGATGGTAAATGTAAATGTTCTTCACGTGTTAAAGAATTAAAATCAATTGAATTACAATAATTAACAAATGCATTTAATGGTCGATCAAGACGAAGATCTGGTATTGTATCATCAGGATGTGCTTCAATAACATAATGTTCAAATACTTGAAGACGAATTGTACCAATAAAACTATTTAAACAAGAAAAAGAAACAAAAAATAAAAAGGAAATGTTTTTATTCAATTTTACCCATAAATACGAGCAACAAGTAAAGGTATTTTAAGTATCCATAAATGATTAGCGAGAATATTTAATGTATTTATTGAAAGATTAGCTGTAATAACAACATTAAATTGACTGAAATCAAATGTATTTTGTTTGAGTACATCATCAATAGATGGTTTATCGATATAGATACCATGTACATCAGGATTTAATTGGGTTAAAAAATCACAAGTAACTCGAGCACGCGATTGATTAATCATTGAAGAATGGACAAAAAAATTCGAACCACAATCAGCTAATGTGACTAATTCATGATCAATAATTGTAAATGAACCAAGACCAGGCAAAACAAGATCTTTAAGAATTTCTGCACCTAATGCATTCGCACCAATTAAACAAACTCGACCAGATTCTAATGCTTTTTGTCCATGATCACCCCACAAACGAAGTTGACGATCATATTGAATTTGTTTTGTACCGGGTGCAGATGATTTACTCATTATAATCTGAAAAGAATCAAGTCTGTTCTATTGATCATTTCGAGTTAACTATTAACTGATCATATCTAACCTATGATCGAAGTAATCATGAACAGTAACTATGGGTTTATGTTTCCTTAAATCATCATAATAGGAAATCTCATTTACTCGATATATCTGACTCATCTGAAAAAAAGCTATACTAATATGATTGACCGAATCATATGACAGTTACCAGTCTATGTATTAATTCTTACTAGAGAACCTATCCGCATGAGCAAAAACTTTTAAGATCAATTTTTTTTTCAAACCTATGGTCTCTATAGGCTAAGAAAAGTTTAAGAGAATACGTGTACAAGTTGTAGTTCAGCTGAGATATTAATTTTTTTCCTATAAGTTTTTCTCAGCATCTTACTTTTCCGATAAAATCAAAATCTCGATATTCGATCTGAAACTTTGTTAGAATCAAGGCGTTTATCAACTAATTCTATGTTAAGTTTGAGACTCAAATATCTATAGGTAGTGTAATATTCATAGAGAAAATGTCTTTATGCTATCTTACTACCATGTCGGAGATAGTTTATCCCAAAATTACAAAATCTTACATGCAAACTAGTCTGATTAAGGCATTGATGTTAACAAAGTTTCAGATCAAAACTTAAGATTTTGATTTGATCAGCCGAGTAGAATGCTGCAAGATGGTCATCGTAAAAAGTCACTATCTCAGTTGTATTGCAACTTGTATTCCTTTTCTGTTAGACTCTTGTCTTTGTCTGTACATTTCGTGCTTGTGGTGAAAATTTTAACTGGTTAAATCTCAAAATAATCAATAAGAAATCGTAATTCGTATAATTCATTCAAATAAATGATCTATCAAAATAAAAAACTATTAGCGCAATCCCTGTCAAATTAAAATGAGAGACATAATGTAGCTGCTGTTGCTAACCACGAAAAGATTGCTTTTTTTCTATCTACTTTGGGGCGCATTTCTTTATCCATTTGATCCTGCAGAAATTCAATAACAATGTAGTTCATATATAATAACGACATGTCAGTGATGTACGATCTATGTTTTGGGTGTGCAAAATACCTCAACACTACCTTTACATCGTGTGCCAGAAAAATCTTTAACTATGGTGATTGGATTTATCCAATTAAAAAAATGTTTCATTTTTTATGTCTACATTTTTATTGATATTGAATTTTTTTTTGACATTTAAAGAAAAACAAATACGTCACGTTATAAACAATGATATTTAACAAATATATATACAAGAATATTCATGTTTATCTACATAGATATTAAAAAAAAAAACATTTTTTTTTCTGACAAAACTTTAATCACTTTCTTCATCATCATAATTAACACCAGTTGGTGCTTTACGTCGTTTAATTGTAGGATTAATTAAACTCATTTGAATATTTCCTGGTGATTTATTTGTATTTCCTTTTTGATTATTTGAATCCACTGATCGGCTTCCATCAAAACTTCGATTACCACCAATTGATCGTGGTTGTACACGTTGTGCTTTCGTTGATAATTCTTTAATACGTAATTGTTGTGTTTTAACTTCAGATGTTAATTGTTCATTACGTTTATAAACATGTAAAAGAATTTTACTTAAAAATGAAGCTTTTTCTCCTTCATCAACATGCTCATAAAGTTGAAGAGTTATTGACTGTTTATTTTTTGGATGTGTAAATGTAACATTGACTTGTGAAACTTCATATTGACCATCACTATTTGTTGATGCAGCTTTAGCAAGTGTAAAATCAGATTCATTTATACGTTCACAAAGAAAATTCATTGTTTCACCAAGTTCTGATATATCTAAAAGTCGAGCATTTAATTGAAATGCACGTTCGTCTAATGATGTTGACCATACACTAACTGATTCTGGCTTATCTAAACATGCTACTAACTACGAAAAAAAACATTCCCTTTGTTTTGTTTCTTTTGTAAGCTTTTACTTGTAATTTTTTTGTTTTCATATCAATAAATGAAGCAAATATAACATCATCACTACGTGAACCGATTTTAAATGGTTTTCGTGCAACAATATAATCAAGATTTGATTTACGAAGTAATTCAACAAATGCTGACATTATTATTATATATATCTAGAGTAAAATAAAAGTAAAAGGAAAAATAAAAATAAAAATAAACAAAAATAATTCCATTTCAAAACGAAAAATTATTTTCATATGCTTATTTTAAATGTCATTCAAGGATACGATTGATACATTAAAAATATCAGCAAATGGTCGAATATTACCATTAGTATTATGATCTTTCATAGAATTATGATCATCCATAATAGCAAAAATAATATATTTAAATGAATGAGAATATTGCTCAGAAATTACTTTATAAAATAATTTTGCTATTATTGAAAATAAAGAAAAACAATCAAAATTACGAAGTATAGATTAATGAAAATCTTACCAATATGCCGTGGAGGATTTCTAAAAGCACCGCTAAATATATAACACAAATTATTTATTATGAAACTTTAAGTTCGAGCAATCTGAATAATTCGAAAGTAAAAATCAAGTCGAAAATTCTTCTTTTAACAAGATTTTTTTCAAAATTTTCTATCAACAATAAGATTGCTCGATTTATTCATAGGTACTGGACTCTGTCACATTTGAC